GTGGAAAATCTAGTTTAGTGGAACCAATTGACCATTTTGCACTGGACGCTGTAAATCAGTAAACATTTGCACCGAATAATGCATGCATTTGCTTTTAAAGATTTTTTGGTGGGAACATTTGCCGTTTATAATTTACAAGTGGACATCTTAGCTGTATTGGAAGCATTTGTGTTTTTTTCTGCTGCCAGATGCCAATAAATAGTCAAATTGGTGGGAAAAATTTCAGTTCCAAACGAATTACGGTTTTCCAGGATTTCAGTGTTTTTAAACTCTGGTTTAGTAGAAACAATTGTGAATTTCGCACTAAAAAATTTAATCTATAAATCGTGCTTCTGTGAATTAAGCCATGAAAATTTTGAAAAAATCTATTTTCATCGGTAAAACTCGCCTTGAAAGTTGTACTTCTTTAGTGGGAACAATTGTCGCTGTTGGTTTCCATATTTTGCACAGTTTTACTGTATTTTATCCCTCAGTAATTTCCTTAATTTCCAGGGTAAATAATAAATGAGTAGAGATTTTTCAGGTTTAGTCAATTTGGTGGGAACAATTGACATTTTTTAGTTTCACAGCGGCGTCAGTTGGTCAAATTCATGCATTATCTGGTAAAACCGCACCCAATTTTTGTGCGTTTGTGCTTTAATTCAGTCGGAACAATTGTCCATATTGCAAAACATCTGGTTCTTTTGTGGGACCGGATGCTTTTCACCATTCTTCCACATATTCATGTTCACAGGCTTTAAGCGCTTAAAGTTTTTGGGTTGTGTTTTGAGTTGGAGGCTCCCAAAGTGTTTGCAATAAAACCGACTTGAAACGCATTTTTTTGGCATTTTTCCATAACTGGTTCAAAAACTAACGATCATTTTTCCTATTTGCGTTTAGACTTTAGGGGCAAATTTGCTATTAAAGAACAGAAAATCTTCACGCGGCTCAGCTCGAAAAGTATGCAAATCGCGATTATTGATAATTAACTAACAACAATTTATCGGACAGTATAATTACGATCTTATGGGTAAATGATTGTAAATTCATGTAAAATTATCTGATGCAATCTTTAGGGTCGGGTCCGCTTCTGTGGCGTGCGTTGAAGAAAAATATGATATAAAATCTAGTCAGCATTTACAAATGCAATATTTATTTACCTTGTGGCAATCGTCTGTAGTAAGTCGAAAACGGTTTTTGTTTAGCAAGCTGGCGTTTTCTGCCTTAGTCAACCGAATTTGTTTTATGCCACTCTGATGCCAAAGTTCAATGGACTGCACTAAAGTGTTTGAGCAAACGCTTGAAAAAGTGGTTTTTTGCGCTGGTTGATAAGGGAAAATTTTGCGCAAAATTACACACGTCAAACTGTTGCCAAATTTAATTACTTAATTACTGTACATTGGCGTTATCCAAGCTTCACTCGAAAATAAATCAACACGCACAAGAGATTAATTTTAATTGGCTTACAATTGCTGTCTTCGTTTCCGTCCTATCAGCGCATCATTTGCATTTGGTGCCAACTTACTTTATCTTTACTAGGACTTTTCTTCACTCTTTTTCAGCTTCTTTTTGTTTTTGTCGGAAAACCGTCAGGTAAACGGTGGTTTTTTCATAAGGTCCCATATTTTCCCAGCTTTCAAATGAAAGTTTCAAATTAGTGGGAACAATTGTGCGGTTCGGCTTTCGGCTTTTGGACACTCATAACCGAAATCAATTGACCCTAGTAGCTAGTTTTTTCACAAATTATCCAGTTTCACTTATTAAGTCCATTGAAGAGTCAATTTGGTGGGAATAATTGCATTTGAACTCTTTATTAAATAATTAGGTTAATGTGGTTTTCTCTGATAAATGCCCGATTTTCCCCAACTACTAACCAAAATACTCGCAATGTACAGAATGCGCAAGCTAAAATCAGCAATTGTTTCTACTAAAAACACTCTGGACGCAATTATTTATTATTATTTATCGAAGATCTCACTGATTTGCAAGTGTCGATGTTGCTTTGCCGGGTTTCGATCGTATGGATTTCTTGTCACTTAAACAAGCTTAAAATAAATAATGTTTTCTTTGCTTTTGCACATTTAGCCCAGTGTGTTCTGTTGATTTCTTCGACGTTTTTTTGGAATCCGTTCCCAAAAACGTATCAGGCAGCAGAAAAATGTTAAAATTTTACAGGATTTGCTTCGACCTCAGCCTCAAAGTTGTCGAATATTTTCATGAAATCTGGTTGTTTTGGAATCCATCCAACCAGCTGCATAAAGAACATTATCTGATTTTTAAGCGCAAACAGTATTGGGTGAGACCAATTTTCAAATGTGAATAAACAGAGTCCTGGCTGGGGTTTCGGTGAATTTTACGTGGATTTTTCGCGTTGAAATTTCCACAAACCGATTTTTGCACAACTCGCTTACGCAGTTTTATAAAAAGGGCTTCAAAAGGCAGATTTTGAGGAGGCCAAAAGTGTTGCGGTTTCACTAGTGCCTCAAAAACACCATGAAAAATCAAAAAAGAATTCGATTTTCAACTAGTCCCAGGTTTTTGAGGCATTTAATGCTTGCTGGCGAAGATGAAATTTCAAAAAATCATTCGTCCTTAAAGGAGTTTTAAAGTTTGTCTTCACCTGGGCATTTTTGAAAAAAATCGACTAAAAAAGCAGGCTTTAAAGGACCAAATGGCGTTGAGGCTTCAGCAGTGCCTCAAAAACGCTATTTGAAACCAAAGGAACTTTTCCAGATTTTTCGCTCATTTTCTCTGCAGACGCAAATGATTGTGGTTGACGAGACTTTTGTAAAACAACTGCGTTTTGGGATTAAAAGTAAAATCATTGAGTTTCCCATTAGTCCTCAAAATTCAACAAGTTTTTTTCCATAGTGGCCGACAAACGCCGTTTAAAATCAAAAGAAAAATTTGAAATTTTTCTTCGGTCAAACACTCAACTGTATTTTGAGTCGTCTTGCAAACTAAATGCATTTTCCTTCTGAGTAGCCGCCAAAGGACTTCGAACGTTCCTTTTTGCAAAATCCGAACATCGAGTGTTCAATTAGTTCTCAAGATCTATTCAAGGCTTTTGCAGGCATTCGATTCAAAAC